CGGGACTCCAGGCGCTCGGCCGGCGGGCCCCCTCCTGGGCCCGGCCCGGGCGGTGCTGGGTGACTCCAGGTGCCTCCGCTGGGCCCGCGTCCTCTGGTTCAGCCCGACGGTCCGACCGTGACCTCCTAATGCCTCGCTCTGCCGACCTCGCACCTGCTTCCCCAGCAAGCCGCATGGACTCCAGTCACAGTGGTCACTCTGGTCACCGCAGTCACCTCGCCGAAGGCCTGCGGTTCCTGCCAGCTCCGTAGGCCGTTTACCACCACGGCCCCTGTTCATCGGACAGATATTTCCCAGCGACAAAGCCCTCACGCCTCAGATCTGCAACGCGTGGTCCCGGTCATGCAGGAGGGAGCAGGTTACGGCTGCGCCTCCTCGGGAGGGTCCAGCTTCGGGGTCCCGGGGTTGCCCCCGGCTGGAGGATGACAGAGGGCACAGGACTCGAGGAGCAGAGCCCAGCCCCCTGAAGATGACCCAAAGAGCCCTTGTCTCCTTGCCCGGCGTGTTTGACGGAGGTGCAGGCGGTGTCCTCTGCGGCAGATCTGAGCCTGAGGGGCCCCCAGAACCGGCCTGTGCTCGGCCTTGGTACCACTTCTCACAAGGACCTCGCATCCCCGGAAGGAGCCAGCAGGAGCCTGTGCTGCAGTCCCTTGTCCCGAGGCCCTGTGTCCCCCCCAGCTCTGGATGGCAGTTCCCCCTGGCGCTGGGCGTCCACTGTCTGAGGGCCTGGCCGGCCAAGGCCTTGCTTCCCCACAGCAGTGGGTTTTCTCACCTTGCTCCCCTCCCGTCCCCGAGAAACTGTGACCCCCAGGACCCCGAGCCCAGTCCTCTGTGTCGCCCCACTGGGGACGGGAGGGGACGGCGGGGGGACGGGGCAGCACTGGCAGGTGGTGAGGCACTTTGTGGAGCTGTGCTGTGTTCTGTGTTTGTGTCTGTTTTTGCTGGCGTTCAGCGACGGTCAGCGTGTCCCCGGGACGTGCACACGGGCGCTGCGGGCCGCCCACCAGCTGTGCGCTCCTTTGTTAAATAAAATCGTAACAGGCGTGGCCCCCTGCCCAGGTCTGGAGGGGACAGTGCCTGTGCCCTTCAGGCTCCTCCAGGTGCCCCCAAACCAAGGAGCCACCCACCTACCGGGCTGGAGGACTGTCACTCACCGCTCGTCCGTCTGTCCCTCGCCACTTAGTCTGTCTGCCCCTCTGCCTCAGATGGGGCTGCAGGAGCACCCGCTGATCACAGCCAGGTTCTCCATAAAAAGACAATATTTTATTGTTTCTCTTGTCCCTCAGTCTCAACTCCCTCTAGTACCTGATGCACACGCACACGCACTCACTCTCACACATGCACACACACGCATGCACACGCACGCACACTCACGCAGACGCACATGCACATGTGCTGTCTTCCGAAAAATCACTCCTCAGCTCGGTCTGTGGCTTTCAGACCTTAGAACGTGAACTTAATGATTCCACAGGTATTTTTTCTCAGAGAACCACAGGACATACAGGTGGGGACAGACTTGTGCCCCTTGTTCCTACAGAGCCCGGCCAGGCAGTTCTTTCCTCAGTAGAACGTGCTTCCCCGAGGCTCAAGTGACTTCTGCCCACAATAGATTTGCTTAGGTCTGAATCACTTCACTTATTATTAGAAACAGGAAACACAAAAGCGCCCGCAGGCCAGGTTTTGCCCTCCTGGACACAGACCGAAGCCCTGTTTCAGGTTTGCTGCTCAGCCCCCCGCTGCCCACCTGCCCTCGGCCTGGCTTGTCTGCCCGGGGCTGTCCCCAAGCTGTGAAGGAGGGACCCAGGGCTGGGAGATCTGAGAGGTGGCCCAACCGGGTCTGTGTCTGTTACGTGGTGAGTGCAGCCCCGAAGGGACCCCCCAGGCTCCCATCGCCCTGCTCTGCTGAATCCAAAACACCTCCAGGTCCTCACCCTCACCTAGAGCGAAGTGAGGAGTCAGCCTAGAGAAGCGATGATCCCACCTTGGAAACTGAGCTTCCAGAAGTCTTAGAGAAGTAGCAGGGCCACAGTTGGAGAGGGGATGACCGGTTATTAGGGTCCTCACCGCGCCTGTGTGGACTCCCGGCGCTCGGGGAGGCTCCCGGATTCGCACAGATGTCAGAATTCACAAGCCCCTGCTCACACATGGCCACGCCCCTGGGTCATAAACCCCCAGAATCTGTCCTGAGAAACCCACGCTGGACCTCGGGCCCCTAGCCCACCACCACACAGACCCTTCACAACACCCTCTAGGGTGTCACCCCCGCCGGGCGCCCCTCGGTGTGAAGTTTTTCGCAGATGCCACCCTCGGTCCGCGGTGTCGCCCTCTCCTCGGCTGGATTGTCTGTGTTTTGATCGGCTTCGTGTGTGTCGATGTTTGGAAGGCTGTTTGCTTTCTGAGTGATAACTTGTCGACCAGTGGTGTTCACTAAACGGTGTTGTTCCCGAGGCCGCCTGCGGGGACTGTCCCAGTCCTTTGCTGGGTCCCCAGCGCATGGCGGCCAACTGCACTGCGTTGGCTCCCGCGAGCCCATGTCCTTCACCTCGGCCAGGACCATAAAGACAGTGGAGCAGGGTCCTGAGCGTGAGGCAGACAGGTGACTGCAGTGCAGCCTCCCGAGCTCAGGGGTCCGGGGAAGGGACAGGAACCCTCCAGGCTCGTGGTCCCCGCTCAGAGCGCGCTTTGTGCCCAAGCCCTGGCCCTGCACTTTGTCCACGAGCCGAGTTCTGTTTACGGGCCTTTCTGTCCCCGCTGCGGTTTGTGTTTGAGATGGCGGCCCCTGTACAGGTATTTATTACGCTTTCCAGACTTTCTGAATAGATTTTTTTAAATAAACACGGGTTTTATGAAGTGTGATATTTTTCTAGCATCGTGTCTTGGCCTTTCTGTATTGTTGCCAGTAATGGCCTGCAGGTGAGCTCCTTACCTGACACCCCGACTTCCGGCTGCTGTCACCTCTGCTGCCACGAGGTGGCGCGTCGCGGGGGAGGTGGCCGAGGGCCGCCAGCTCCCCACTGAGAGCGTGTGTGCGCAGTGCATGTGAGCGTGTATACGTGTGTGTGCGCTCCATGCAGAGCCTGGCTTTGTCATGGGACTCGTCAGCTGCCCTCCCCACCCAGGTCTCAGGGGGCCCAAGGGGGTGAGCGTACACCATGGGCTCATGATACAGCCGGGCACCCCAACGTAGGAAACCCAGTCCTTTAGGGCTGCCCTTTGCGCCAAGGGTGACACGGCCCCTATCTTCCCGGCCAAGCGCCGTGCAGGCTCCTTGAGAAGATCTGCAGAAATGCAGGGCCGGGGGCTCCGCACTCCCCCCGTCTGTGCCCCCAGATGCTGACCCGACAGTTGTCTGAGGGATGCCGGGGAGAGGGGCCTGGCCCGCGTGGGCTGCTGCCTTTATCGGGCACGCCAGCCAACTGCGTCTCAAGTGCCTCTGAGAGGAGAAATCTCTCCTGTGGGACTGAAAACAGTGCCCCGAACACCATAGTGTCGTCCACTCACAATAGTCTCTCAGACACCGTTCCATCAGAGTGCTGAACGCGGTCTCCAAATTCAGAGGGTCACTCGTCCTCAGTGACACCGGCCCAGGCCTTTGCCACACCCACTTCCCCAGATGCTGAGGACAAGGGAGGCGGGAAAAGGAGCCACGGCCGGGCTCCTGGCTCCACACACAGCCCCAGAGTTGCCAATTCTTGGGCCCAATGGCCCCTTGACATCTTACCTGGCCTGTGACCTGCCAGGTAAAATGAGTTGATCTCCTGTTCGGAGTAGATCCTAGCACCTCGTGACTCAGGGCCCAGAGTGGGAGCCCCGAGTGGGTCAGGCTCTGCCGCCGGCAGGGCTGCACATGTCCCCTGTCCCTGGACTGGATAAAAAGCAAAGTGGACAGACACAGTCTTTTACATTGACTGGTACAGGTTAGTTAACAATGAACATTTGCAGCACGTGGGGAGCAAGTTGACAATGACGGGTTCTGTGGTCGAGCTCTGGTGGGAGGTTGTGCCCTAAGGGGTCTGGAAAAGAAAATGATTGTGACATTTTGAAGGTATGTCATTCCTAGGTGCGTGAGAAGAGTGGACAAGGCTCACTTAAGGCAAAGATTGACCCTTGCTAAGGAAGCTGCAGACCTGGAGACTTGATTGCCCGCTGTGACCTGCCCAGGTAGGAACTTGTGACCAGCTCACCCTGTGTGGTCACTTTCAATCACTGAGTTTGTCAGGTTTCGTGCACTGCCCCTTTTTCATTCACAAAATAAATTACACAGACCATGTGGCCTGGCAGAGGACAGAGGGCCCTGGGACATGGGGGGGGCATGGTGGGCAAATTCAGCTGGGCCAGGGAAGGCTCCACTGGGCCAGCGAGAGGGCTGCAGGGCGACAGGGAGAGCAATCTGGTCACAAGTATTTATTAAAATTATCAGGTACTGACCTTCCAGGGGACAAAGTCCACCCGATCCTCTCATTCAACTCGGGCGTTGTTGCCACTAAACCTTGTCCCGTGAGGCAGACACTGAAGCTGGAATTGGTTTAGGAGCCCACCTGCCCACCCGGAGCAGCCCTGCAACAGAAACCTCCTGTTTCTGTCCCCAGCTGCAGGCAATGCCGGGCGGGCACAAACCACTATAGGTTGACCCCCAGAATGTATACGCACTCTGAATGATTATAAAGCCAGTGTTTATGAACATATAGTTCATTTTCAGCATTTAAAAGAATCTATAGAAGTGAATAATATTTTTGGTCAATGCCTGTTTCCAAACAGATGACCGTTCTGATCTCAGGTCTGTAGCTTCCTTAGCA